TTTGTTTGACACCGACGAACAAATTCATAAGAAATTAGTAGGTTGGATCTAGAATCGTTGGATATCCTTGGATTACAAAAAAAAAATACTATTATTATTCAGATTCAAAGATCTTAAACTGTTATATATACTAGATTTTGATTTGCGCTTTACAAGCGCAAAAATATTATGTGATGAAATTTTTTACTAATAGTTAATAAATATTTTGTTAATTGGAAAAATGTGTATTCAAAATATTTTTACATTTAAATCTGTGTTTTTAAATTTGATCCGAACTCGCAGTTTAACTGGTTAATCCAGTGATACGATAATTCGATTTAGATTTTTTAAAGTATTGATATTTAAAAAATCTCCAAAAATTGAGACCAATCGATTGAACCGAAGGATAACCGATACGTAATATTTAAACTTGTAAAATTAATTTGTATTTATCTTTTTGTTATTTTAAAAACTATTTGATTTTTTAATTTTTTAATTTATCAAAATAACTTGAAAGAAAATTGTTAGAAATTATTTAAAAAATGAGAGCAAATATTTTGTATTGTTTGGATACAATATTAATTATAGTATTGTTTGAAAACATTGATAGTAGTATAAAGAAATGAATATTAGTGATTTAATGTAGGTTTAACTATAAAATAGAAATGTGTATTTTAATTTAAAAATTTATAAAATAAAAATTAGGTCTAACATAATATTTTTACTTTATAAGATAGATATATTCTCAGAAGCTATCATATACTTATATACACAATCTCATCGTCTCAGCCTCCGTAGGTATTATCTATTTGGATTTCAATTGGCATATTTAGCGTAACATAAATTCTCGTAAGATTAGTAAAGCCAAAAAGAAAGATTGAAAAAGCCGATCCAACAAGAAAAATAGAAAAAAAAAATAAAAAGACAACCAGTGAACGAAGGAATGACTCATTCTCAACCATAAAATAGGAAGGATGACTCATTTGATAAGATATTAGATAAATTAAACCTGGTTATGTGTGCATATATTTTATTTTGAATTCGACCAAAAGTAATTGAGTTTCTACTTTTGAATAACATTCTCTCGAAGAGAAGCTTTCAAGTGATTACAAGCCTACACTATTTCATCGAGCCAAAGCACTTATTATATCTTGTCCTTTGATACCTCACAAGTTCCCGTATTTCATGTTTAGATAATGTTCTTTCTAGTGATCACTTATTCGTTACGAATACTCAATGTCATCTTCTAGAAAATTAGAACACTCGTAATGTTTCCAGCATTATAGATTTTTCCAATATTTGATTTTCTGGTCACCAGATATAAATACCTGTTTATTCTAATGATTTATATATATATATATAAAGATTTTTATATATATATATAGTAGTAATTGATTACTGATTATTGAATATATAGAATGAATACTCTTGGCGATCTAGCCGTGTTATATTGATAAATTAGTTGCGTATACGGATGTATATCTCGTGGGATTAAGTTTTGGGATTAGAAAATATATGGATGGGATTAGTTTTGGGACTAGAAAATATATGGGATTTCCATAATTAGAAAAAAATGTATAGAATGAATTATATTCTCATTTTATGGGTGAGCAGTTTGCATCAATAACTTTTGTATAATGGTCCTACAATTTGTAGGGTCATAAATGTGAGAACAGCTACAGCTGATATTATAGACTCAGTGGGCTGGATTTGATTGGGTTCATACACGTTATTGTGTGAAACCAAAATGTAATTCTTTTTGGCTTGACCAAAGATGTCGGTTTTCTAGGGTTTTCTCCAACTTAATTATAATTAATATACTAAAAATCAATGTGTGACAATTTCATCATTTCATGTCGGGTGAAATTCAGAGCGGCATCTTAATTTTGCAGTATAGTTTATAGACAATCGCATGTGAAATGTTTCACATTGTTTGGACAAGTTATTCAAAAGTTTTGCCTTAAAGGTTTTACGCAATTACACATATAAAAATATGATAATCTATAGATTGACTAATCATATCTTAGAGACTCATGTAAACATTGTAAACAAAATCTTAATTAATATTTTTATAATTTATAGATCATACAACCTAACTATAATAAATTTCAGTTTTGAAATAAAAAAAATATATTTTAGCAGGCTGTGTCCAAAAATGCAAAAAGTTAGTCGACATGGGTTCATATGATGTGGTTATTTAAATTGTATAGTGACAGTTTATATATATATGGAATGAATACATCTTCTGTATTAGGTGGGGAGGTTGTCGGTTTACGAATTTCTCATATGGTAAATCAGTGGCGGAGGTAGAAACAAAATCTACGGGGGTCAAAGTTACATACACATAAATTTATTGGAAGATTTACAACTATCAAGTGGGTCAAACCATTAAAAATGAACCAATTAATCAATATTTATCGCAGTTATATGCTTATATTAAATAAAAATTGAGAATTGACAAGGGTCAGCTGACCCACATGCCTCTTCACTAGCTCTGCCACTGTGGTAAATTATTCATCATTTTTGCTAAAAAAAGAGAAATTATATAATATTTTAAAATATTATTTACTGCACTCTCCATATTATTATTTAAAAATTAGTTTATATGTGATGTTCTCACATTAGTTCTGATGACAGTTCATAAAAAGTATTATTAATAAATTAAAATTATATATAATACCATTATTAAAATTTATATTTCTTTTTTCTTTAATAGCTTTTAGTCAAATTTTAGGTTTCACTTCCTTTCTATATTGTTTTCTAAATTATGTATATCAAAAAGAAAATATTTGAAAAATTAAAAAGGTGAATATATTTATATCTATAAATTTATTTCATAATGATTCCATCAAAAAGCTCACAAAACAAATAAGGTTGATATTCAAAAATAATTTTCTCGTTGAAACATAATCTCAAAGACTCAAACAACAATTTTTACTTTAATTATCTTTACTATTATTCAATATATTGGAAAAGATAACAATTCTTTTTAAATGTATAAACTAATTTGATAATATAACTACAAAGAGTTTTGTAGATATTAGATAACATTAGAGGTGTCAAAATGAATAAAAATACTGGATCAATCCAATCCAAACCATGAATCTTAATGAATAGAAAAATTGTGTACAAATAGGTTAATGGATAAAATGGTTTAATGGATTTATTGGATTGAGTTAAAATGGTATGAATTGTAATGGATTATAAGTTATCCATAACTACTAAAATTTTGAATAAACTAATAATATTATAATTTGCCATTATTAAAAATCATTTTCGTTTTTTCTATTACTACTTTTTAGTTTTTTTTGTATAATTTAAATAAACGCATAAATAACAAAAAAAGTTATAAAATATAATAGGTTATATGTTTGGTTTAAAAACTCCAACCAAACTCTTAACACTTCATTTTTTTTTTCTCTTTTTTTTATCCCAAAAGACCATGTATCAGTTATGAAGTTTTTATTAAAATATACTCAAAACTTAAGAATTAAAAAATTAATCATAGTATATATATATTAGGATCAAAACAATTGGGTTTGATTCAGAAGAATTTCTACAGCCTAGTATAATAATAATAAAAATAAGCCAGCCAAACTTAGTTCTTATTAGTTAAATTATTTAAAATAATTTTAAATTTCTATACTATACATCTATTATATAAATTACTAAGATTTTTTTTTGAAACAACAGTAAAAATCAATCAACTAATTTGATTTTATTATTTCACAAATATTAATTGTTGTGCTGAGCCTATATTTTACCGGTTATATTCATTTATGGAACTTCTTATTAAATATAAATTTAATTTTATAAAATTATACATACTTTTCAAAAAAGTACTTAAGATGAAAAAAAAAACTAAATGCAATGAGCAACACTAACCCAATTTTATTTTAAACTAGGTCCGGCCCGCCCTACGGGCGGGTTCTACTTTATATTTGATTTCGGTTATTATGTTTCGTATGGTTTGTACAAATTAGATATTTTGTATCATTTCTTTATTTCAATATGTGTAGTCTTTAACCTCTATAATTTGGATTATTGTTATTTGGGTTGTATTTCTTTGGGACTGATTAGTAAAGCAGGAAAATCGATTCAAATTTTAGAAGGTACAATATGAATATTTTTTTTTTAAAAATAAGCTATTATTATTTTTTAAAAATAGAGTATGTATTAAATGGAATATGTATTATTCTGAATATAGCGAGAACTGTGAGGAGCGTTGGAAACTGAGTAAATGTCGGCTATAAATGGAAAGTGCCCATATAGAGGGGTATGGCTGAATCCAAACAGGTTCGCTACTCTATACCATAAGATGTGTCGGTTTAACTGACAATTGATTCTGAAAAGACTAATGCAATGAGTGTGTGGCCTACTCCAAAGCCAGTCAATCAACTCGGTAAACTTATCGGTTTAACTGGGTTTTACAGAAGATTTAAATCTGATGTTCGATCATTTGAGATTTGTTTGTTGGTAATATCAAAAATCTCATCATATTTGTATCTTCCGGTTGTTGTTTGTTTAGTTCTTGGTGATTCGAGGGGAACATTTAAGTTAGAGTTTTTTTCTTTTGCATTGTTTTTAACAACATGTTTTTATTTGTAACGAATACACTGGAAATATGAAATTATTTGTTTATAATGGTATAGACGTGACAAATTAATTATTATAGTATTGAAACATATTGTCTACGATATTGTGGCCCTGCATGTTGGACATCTGATGTTCATCCGGATCCAGTCAACAATGCATGGGTGATGATATATATGGTAGCATTGCAGTTCATTTATAGAATCATCGCTTACAATTTTCTCCATGCATATTGTGCATGTTTCATTTTCTTCCATGAGTGTGGGTTCATGCTGTTTGGTGTTAGGATTCAATAGCTATTTTCATATTAGTGATTTTACATTAAAAAAGACTTATTAGAGTATGGTTTTATTTTGTATTATTATGTAGCCTTTTGCTTTACAAACTTGGTGTTTTGAGTTTGATGTTCAACATTAATTAGATTAATATCTCTCTTAATCATCAAATAAAAGAAGGAACACCTTCTAGAGTCAACGAAAGCCACTTAACTGGTAAGAACCTACGATGAACAAAACAAATCCTAAAGAAGACATTAAGTTAAATGTCACAAAATCAAACAGCAAAATGAGTTTTTCTTTAATCACTACTCTATATACTCCCTACAATGAGACTCATCTTCTCAAGTGAGTTTCCACTTACACCTCCTTCGAGTTCCATCACCCTCAACGTCAGGAGAATCTTCTACAACAGTGTCTTCTTGTACAATCAAACCTCTGTTTCTCGAGAGTTTTCTTATCGGTGTTGTCTGAGAATCCTGTGGGATGTCTCCTGGTGCAGGGGGACAAGAAGATGAAGCGACCGCAGTTTCTCTGTGTGGCATTAGCTCTTCGCCCATAGGCACCATTTCAGACATCATCTGTTACCACAAATACAAGACATCTTCAGGACATAATCTACACCAAACGAGAGTAATAACTGAGTGAGATTCTATTTGGTTACCTTCCAGTCTTTGAAATCAAATCTAAACACAAAGTGGTTGTAAGTGACTTCCCCTGACGCCACCAGGTTCGCAGCAGGTGCGTTTCTCGGCACTGAAGACAGATTAGGAGATCAAGAAGTTAATGGAATGAATTGAGATTTCCAAACAAAGACTTTAAGAGGATGGAAATGCGATCTTACAGGCAAAATGTGAGCCATTCTTATCAACAATGATCTCTACTCGACCGTCTTTGGACAAGAAAGACAGAGCGAAAAAATTCTCTACAGTCTGTGCAAATGATCTTCTGTTGAGCACCAAATTCTCTAGCCTCACACGCTTCTTCTGGCGTAAGATATTAAACATTATCGCCATGTTCTTGTCCGTATCAGTTTTCTCTTCTGATTGTGAATCATCTACCTGGTGATTACAATAAAGTACTCATATCAGCTCTTTTGTTTCTTATCTAAATCCAAACTACATAACAATCAACAAGTGCCAGACAAAGCATCACATCCTAATTCAAGGAAACCCTGCAAACTCATCAACAGGTGAGAGATTCCAAATTCTGTACAATTATAAATAAATGCTCACGACATATACAACATTGCAGACCATGCAAATGTATCTAAAACGTTAGTAATCAGGCGGAGATATAAAGCACTCAGCATAGCTACGTGTGAGGAGTGGAAATTTACATACGTGGAGTCTACAAGACACATTGAACAATCATGTTTACCAAAACTGTATATTAGTTCATTATTGGTCATAAACTCAGACAAAAATGAGGTCTAGTAAAAAAAAAACAATTCTTACCTCATCCGGACGAACGCCTTCACCAGGCTTTGTACGTTTTCTGTAGACTGCCCTTTTCCTTTCCTTCAATTCAGTGTCCATAGGTCCCAACCTGATCACGAAAAAGGCAAAAACAAAACAGTTGTTCAAAAACAGAACATGCTCAGCTTTTAAACAAAGCAAGTCAATGCTAGTATGAAAACTCACATCGTGGAACAACCACAAGATACAAAAACAGTAGAGCAGACAGCAAGCCCAAGATCCTTCCATTTAACAGATACAGGGGCAGCAGTTTCGTCAGAATCAATCCATTGAGAAGGCTGACCAAACCCATTGACCAAAGCATTAACAAACTCAGCGGGAGAAACCCCATTAGCAGACTGAGACTTGACAGATGACAACATGGTGTTCGCTATATCCAGAAACGCCTCTGCGTCTGCAATCTGCTCCCTTGGCCATCTCGTAGCAGAAATCTCGTGAGCTCAGGACTTACGTGCTTTTATGGAGAGAACCAAACATTTATGTCAGGCTTGCGCAATTGAAACCGGCCGTTTATGTTACAGGGGAGATGGAGAAGCCAAACGTCGACAATGGTTGGGGAAAGCGTAGAGGTAGATGGTGACAGGTGAACCAAAAGGAAGACGGCCCAGAAAGAAAGAGCAAAGCCCAGACGGAGACTGGAGTGCGGCCCAACAACAAAATGCTCATCTAACGTGGACTTTCCTAGGTGTCATCCTACGTGGACACACTAAGGAGAGATCCAGCTCTTCTTTATATAATAGATTCAACTATAAACAATTATAGTTAAATCTGAATGAATGGACGTAACTTAATATACCCACAAAGTGATTCACAAGACCAATATATATTCTTATACTCAACACAAACGTCTAATTAAAATGGCAAAATATATATATCTATAAAAATATTCTATTGATTTTTATACATACAAAATATAAATGACTCGAAGAATAAAAATAAATGAATATTACCCAATTATTATAAATGAGTTATTTTATAAAATTTATAGTACATGATCTTGCAAATAAAATATTTTTATATTCATTTTATGTAACTCTTAACTGATCACACTTTATTTTACTTTTTCGATTAGTCAAAACACATATATCAAGTCATGCAATTGTGATAAAATATATTTTGCTTATCAAAGTCAATAAACCAAACTAAATGAAACTAGCAGAATTAATTAAAAAATCAAACCATTTAGAACAAAGAAATGTTTAAATCCGAGAAGTAGATGTAACATAATACACTCAAACAGTAACTGAGAACATCATTATTGCAAGTTTCTTAACGTCGATTTCTTTAAAAAAATTGTTTCTTAAATTTTAGCAGAAAAGTTAAAAAATGTTTCTTTTTCTTAAAGTAATAAGAAAAAGAAATAATTTCTTAACTTTTCAGTTAAAACTTAAGAAACAAATTCTTATATTTCTCTAAAAAACCCATCTTAAGAAACCTGAAATACTGATGCTCTGAGCTGACAAAATAGTCTGTACATAAAATCATATATCTAAATAAAATAATACGGTAATATTATATAACTTATATTATATATAGATTGTATAAAGTTAAAAGTAATATATTAATTATTATAATTTATTAACTTTGTAACTATTTGTGTATGTACATAAACACAAGAGAATCACCTAGCAACATATTTTTTCCAGTTTCAATATTAGAAGAAGGTTCAGTGCTTTTCACATTCAAAATTTTTACTTTAACAAAAAGTTTCTAGGCCTTTTCAAAAATATAACCAAGCGCATACAACTCAATTGGTTTATTCTGTGTGGCTTTTTGTGTTTAAATGTCATGATTTATTTTTGGTCTTGAAAACCAGACTGTACCTGGCTGGTCAAACCGGTCCAACCGTGATTTGCTAAAGAAGACGACTCCGGTTTGGTTTAAAACCCAAATTTAGAAAAATTTATAAACCAGCTAAAAACAGGTAAAACCGGTGATCCGGGTCAACTTCAAAACTCGTTTCACAAAAATCAGCATATAATTAATATTTTTTTAATATGTTTTTAAAATTTAAATATTTTATAATCAATTTTTAACTATTATATTTAATTGTTTTTTATTTAATTATATTTTCTTAAGAAATAATGTAAACATCTCATTTTGTCTCTTATATCCTATTCTCATATTGCCATTTTCATAAAATAAGAGATTTTAGTTTTAAGAATAAATAAATATGGTAATTTGAACGGTAAATTATTTTGTTTTTATCAATTTCAGTTTACATAGTTCACTTATTTATTGTATATATAGATAGATTTATGCTTATTGTTTATTTTCTATTTAATAAAAGAGAATAAAAAACTTATCATATGTAAAACATAAAAATATGTGACTATATAGATTTATTATTTTAAACTAGAAAATCCAATTCAACCGGTTGAACCGATCCAGCCAATCAACCAGTAGCTATAACGAATCGGTATTTGGTCCAATTTTCAAAACATTGGTAAAAGTATAAATTTATATTCTTTTTATAATTACAAAGAAAATTTGTAGGAAAAAAAACACTAAACATCAACTAAGACAAAGCTAACTAATCCGACAAGAGACCGGAACACCAAGCAAAGAAAACTTTAAAGTAATGCAAGGGAACCAACGAATCATGCTAAGCCCTAACTAGCCAAGAACGAATGAGAAGACACTTGGTTGCCACGAGCTACAAAGAGAAAGTTCCGCCCTTAAATCCCTGAAAACATGATTCCTTTAGCTTCCTCAAGACAAACCACTTATAGCTGGTCGAAGAAACCAAGCTTGACCCGCATATTAGCCAAGCATAAGCCGCACTAGTAACATAAAAAAATAATTGCAAAATCTATGATGCCATCGTTCGATAAAAGAACGGAATATTTCTCCTTTTTGTACATCTCAACCGTGATTGTTAAACTTATTTAATCAAAAATCTTATATACAAATTTTGAACTTGCTTGGACACTTTCTCTTGTGAATCCCAACCCCAGTACCAACTTGTGTCAATTTCTTAATTTTCCCACTAACCCAGACACGAGAGAGAGTCGTACACCACATCAACAATGACCAGACAGTCACAACCAATTATTCAAACAAATAGACTTTCAAACCTGCAATGCCAGAAGAAAAAAAGACGCAGAGACCTAGCTACTTCGGAGACGACACAAGAACTGAAGATGCAAGTGGAGCTTGTAGATGTCAATGGTCTTCCGTGACTAACTAGGCGACGAAGTCACTGATGCTGGAGGCATTAGTCGTTACTACATAAGGCATGCGGAGTGGTGGGTTACCATGTGGATGCAAGATATGCTGAGATGGAGAAGGATAAACTAGAGGTTTATGTCTTGACGTAGTCGTTGAAGTAGTTGCTGATGCAGCGTGTGTCAGAGAGTGAACCAGGAGGCATGCGGAGTGGTAGAGACCATGTGGATGCAAGATGCTGAGCTGGCGTGGGATAAACTTGAGGAGCAAGTTTATACCGTGGAGAAAAGGCAAGAGATAAACTTGAGGAGCAAGTTTATGC